CTTTATCTGAAGCTGTTTCTTCATTTAGGTAAGCAAAGACTTAGACATATAAGCCAATTTTAAAACAAAACTAATTATGATGTATCTTGTCATTTTACTACAAATAAAAAAAGTAAGTTTGCAAGTGTTTTCAATCTGAATGACTTAGATATTATGATTCAATTTTTCTCTAGGTTATTACACCTTAAAATTTTTATTTCCCCTTAATTCTTTATTCTTAGCAACCCCAAAATTCAAAATTCTCATTGATGACATTAAACATACATCCTACCAATACCTAATTTAGTTTGTTTATTATAAACAAAATTTAATGACACTACTTTAAAGTCATATACTTAGCAGACCTCACTAAAGATACCAGCTAAAACTTTAAACTCAATTCTACTTTCTCTTCAGTGTAAATCTAAAGCATGACCCAGGCAACCTAAAAATTTCTTCTAAGAAGAGACTGAAGTTGAGTGTCCTTACACAGCCATGTCCAAAACTAGTCCTCTATCAGCTGCCTGGAGGCCAGGGAGCTCACCATGGAACAATGGCAGGAAAATAGAGTTCCCTTCATTCCTTAATTCACATGCAAGTGAGGTGCCAATCAAGTGCTGACAAGCATGGAGAAACCAAAGTCAAAAGTGGGTAGAGACATGCTTTCAAAAGGAGCTGTTTTCACACATTTCTAAGTGATGTTTTTAATGGTGGCTGTGAACATAACCATTACCAACATAGAAAAGGAAATAAAAATGAGTAGATACTAATTTTGTATCAGTTGGGAAGATTCAAATAAGCTAGGGAATGTATTGACAAATAATATATTTCATAAAAAATATGAGCATGCATTGTTTTGATTAAAGGAAGAAATTTGTGTGCAAACTGATTTTCTGAGCAATCACAGCAGTAAAAGGAGCTGAGGCAGGTAACAGGGCACTCAAGGAAGCCAGCTCATTTACAAATAAGAAAAAGAAAATCACAAGATTTTGTAAATCAATCATCACCTGGAAGGACAAGAAAAAAGCTCTGTGAAATGGCCAACCGCAGAAGGGAATTGCCTCAGTCCAGCAGCTGTAAAGATCATAGAAAAAGTCAAAACCTGCATTGTTTAAATATGAAAACTGAAAGAAAAATGAGCCTGAATTTTAACAACTAATATATCACAAAAGTTGGCTGCATTATTTGAACATGTATTTTCAAATAAATTTGGTAAATACATTCTAGCTATGCTTATTAATTCTATCACATATAAATTAAATTGCTAAGATAGAAATTTAAGGCTCTGTGTTTGATGGTTTAGTCAGTAACTTTATGATATTGGCAAAATTTTAAATACAAATAAACAGTAATATAGGCAGATACATTATTTTTAAAAAAATTCGTTATCGACTGTTCTTTCCTTTTGTCTTTGATGACTTTGCATTGAAATAAAATTAGAATGTCTTATCAACCTCTATTTTTACTAGAATCATAGAAAGTTTGGAGAATTAGAAAGCTGAATTTTTACTATATGATGAGAGCAAAAGCAGTGAGAGGTGTACTTTCGGTATCACTTTTCTTTTTGCTAAAACTGCACACGGGGCTCGACCCGATCAAGTCGCAAGGTTTACTACCATACAATGAATACTGGGTTTGAAAATAAATCTTTCACTAGAGCATATTCTTCAGGAGAAATTCAACACTTTCAGACAGGATATAATCATAAATTATGTTCTCAGTTTCCAAAAACAACTATTAGCAAAATATGAAGCTTCTACAATTTTGTGTTCTAAACTTAAAAGTAATTTATCTTCAGATATCCAAAATACTTAATTTTCAACTAGAATTTTAAACAATTTTTAACTTAGTAAGTGGCAGGATCAGAGGTCTTGACTGGCACCTGCTATTCAAAGAGTAAGTACTATACAGAATTGCATTTATTGTTGAAACTGTACTTGTCATACATTTCACATTTAAATAACTTTTCTTCAGATTCATGACTCAAGAAAGAAGAATGTTAACTTGTAAGACAATGGCTGAAAATGATTTCTATGTTCTTAGATATGATGGTGTGAATTAAGACAGAGGGAGGGAGGGAGGGAGGGCTACAATCTTCTAATCAGGTATAAAGCTTAGGGCAATTTAACAATGCTTTAAACTGCTGAAAGTTAAAGGCTTTAATGTATGATGTATATAAAGTACAACTGCGAAAAAATTGCATCACAATTTAAGATTCATATAATAATCCTCACAATTTACTTTTTTAAACACAGGTAATAGTAAAAATTTGAAGCCATGTAAAACAATTTCATATATTACATTTATGCTGAAATACCCAGAGACAACATCTGTCAACATTTTAAATACTAAGACTTTTCTCTTAAGAATATTAGAGTTAACAGGAAAGAATGCTAGCTTTAGGCAAAAGCAAAAGCATTTAAGTGTTTGTTTCTCTGCTACAGTGCTATCTTTCAAGAAGCACTTTGAAATAAAAACATAATAAACTTAGATATATTGGTCAAATTTATCAGAATGAATGTAAACGTCATCAGTATGAACTGATATTTGCATGAAGGACCACTCCTTCAGTTGGCATGTCTACCCCACATTATACACTTCAATCATTTGTTTCACAAGTAGCAAATACATGAAGTTGAGATAATAACCATTAATATTTTAAGACCTAAACAAGGTGTATTACATTAAATAGACTTCTCAGCTGTGTGCAGCCTGACAGATATGTGATGTGCCAGTGGTTATATTATATTCCTCCTGCCATGCATGTGCCTCCTGCAGAGACAGCAGACTACAGAAGCTGACCCTTACTGAGACCATCTTGTCTCTCTGACAAAGCTCCTTTTTAACTTCTTACTTACTAGTTACTTCCTGTGATGGAGAAAAACTTTAGCTCAGCTTGTGATAATTTCACAGGCCCTGAGGACCCTGACCCTAATAGCCTCCAGGTCAGAAGTCAAGTCTTGTTCTGAAACATCTGTGTGCTTTATATTAAAGTGGAACAAAAGTGGAGAAATATCCACCAGCGTGTGACAAGAAGGACAGGCAAAACAGGACTGACACACTGGTCATCTGTCAATTCTGGCATCCTAAGATCATTTAAGAACAGCCCCCAAAACCTTTAAATCCCAAATTTGGCATACAAAAGGTTTTTTATAAATTATCTTAAAGTAAAAAAAAAAATCACAATGTGTGTTTTACTGAAACCAAAAAATTTGAGTAGTATTTCAGGAGACATTTTAAGTCATTCTGTAAGTTGAAAAAGTTAATTTTAAGTAATATAATGCTCTATAAAGAAAAAGCTATCTATATCTATAACTGTAGTTACTTATCGTATTATTGGCACTGAAACACATTATTTAAAAATAACATTATTTTTGTAGCATTTGTATTTTGAAAAACATACCATACTAATATGTTCCAGAATCTCCTAAAGTTTCCATTATATATGTCAAATTAAACAAAATTAGCAAAATTAAAAAATGCTTGTAAATAATAGCTAAAAACAGAAGAAACGTTAAGAAAAACAAACAACTTGAATCCAGAGAGATAGCTCAGCAGTTAAGAGCACTGGCTGCTCTTGCAGAGGACCCAGGTTTGATTCCCAGCACCCACATCATAACTAACACACCATAAGCATTTTAGATATAGAAAGGCATCAGGTGTCACCACCACTTTTATGTCTAAATCATGTGACTGAGCACTGAGATTCATAGCAGTTATAAAGGCCACAGAAATCTAGTTACAGAAATACATGCCAGAGTCTAAACATCAGAATTATTTAATAAATATTGTGCTTTTTTGGTTTACATGTTTGTTTTGGGAAAGGATCTCCCTATAGCCCCAGGTGGCCTGAAACTCACTACATAGATCAGGCTGGCCTTGATTTCACAGTAATCTGCATACCTCTGTCTCCTGAGTCCTGGGATTAAAGGTGTATGCCACCATATGTAGCTATGCTTGCTTTTAATGTCCACTTCAGTCTGTTTGGATTTAAATTTCTCAAATATAATTTAATATGCTGATCAGTTTATTACAGCAATGGTGCTTTTTTGTGATATGGAGTTATTATGCACACAATGGTATGATTTCATTAATGCATTTCTAGTATTGATTATATCATAGTAACCACACTGGAAAAATCTGTGCTGTTTGCAAAACTGCATATAAAGCAGGTAAAATTCAAGACATTTTGATAATTGCTTCTATCATGTACACCTAATTTTAACTTTTAAAAATAAGAGTATTTTGAAAATGCAAAGATCTTTGTGGTCAAGCAATGTATACTAGGTAGAAGTAAATTAATAGAACCTTTCTGATATTTTTAATGCTTATTATACAAATTCCGATGAAGTATTAAATACTAAATAATACACATTAAAGCCAGTTAAAATTATCAAAATATCAAATATTCAAAGTCTTATAATTTTAAGATCTTTAAAGATAACATACATATTAATCATGTACAAATAAAACAGGAAATGTACATTTGAAATGTACAGAAGTTGGCATGATAATATAGAAATTTAAAAATAATATGTAAATAAGGAACAGGCAAAAAGAAAAGAAAAGCCCTGGTTAGCATTGCAAAGCTCTGTTACTCTGAAAAAAAATTAGTATACTCTCTTCAAAAATTATAAAAATATATACTTGAGATATTTTATTTCTATACTTTATGAAATAATTTAAAGTAATAATTTCAAAGAAAGGAATAAAGAGCATGAATCTGTAAGGAGACTGGGAATGAAAATTAGAGTTAAGGAGCTAGAGAGAGAGCTCAGGGGTTAAGAGCACTTTCTGCTTTTCCGGGGGGCTTGAGTTCAGTTCCCAACACCACATCTGGTAGCTCACAACGGCCTGTGACTCTAGTTCCAGGGGATCTGATGTTCTCTTCTAGTATCTCTGGGTACTGGCATACACATAGTACCCATGCACCTAGGCACACACATACACACACACACACACACACACAAGAATAATCTTAAAAAAAATCCAAACAAACCAGGAGTCATATGTGACCTTACCAGTTCAACAAAAGCAAGCCCTCCATAGCTGTGAGCAACAAAAAACACATTTTCAGCAGCAGATTGAGCTATGAAATGGTCCCAGACGTAGACTGCATGTTCTTCAGGAGAACCATTTTCCTATAAAGAAAATGAATACTGTGTATTACACAGCATATCTATAGATTACCAGCTAATTTATATGCTTGCATATGTAGCATAAGACTAAGATGGTTACATAGCATTCAAATGAATAACAAGACACAGAATTTAATTGAAAATTTAAATCAGAGATTATATTAGTATTAAAACTATTAGTAAATTACTGATAAGCTTAACTGCTAATGTAATCTTTGGAAACAAGTTATGCTGTCCTGGTGGTGCACACCTTTAATCCCAGCACTCCAGAGGAAGAGGCAGGTGGATCTCTGTGAGTTCAAGGCCAGCCTGGTCTACATAGTGAGTTCCAGGACAGCTGGGGCTACAGGGAGATCATGTCTGAGTATATCTGAGATATTAAAATCTAAATAAACACATTAGAACTATGTGGTAGACGCTTATAGTATTCTTTTTTTATAAAATTTTTATTGAATTTTTGTGTATATAATACAGAACATCTTAAGCATCTTTATACCCCTTTCCCAATTGGCTTGTTCTCATAGCTCCTCCCACTGGATTTCATGCATTCTGTCATTTCTGTTAAGGCCCATCGAAACAAGTTAGTGTCCACAGACATCCCTCAGTTATATTAGTCTTTTGATAAAACAATTTAACATTAAAATATTTAGGTTATATTCCTATATGGATCTTAAAGTGTTTATTTTACATACATTAAATTAATTTATGAGATTTTAAGTATTTCTGCAAGTTGAAAATATGGAGAAAATGAATAACAGATATTTTCTATTGAAGTCATTTAAAAACGAATGTTTTCTAAAAGAATTTTCCATGCACATTTTATTTCTAGAACTGAGAGGAACCTAAATAAATCTAGGGGCTTCTATCCTAGAGGCTTTAAAATTTCTCCTAATTTGCAAAATCTCAATAATCATATATTCCAAAAGTTCTAGAATAACTCCATTTTTCTATATGTATTTCTTCAACCTATACATATAATGGTATAGCCAAAATCCAGGTAAAGTGAAAATGAAAACAAAACCAGTAAAACAAAAATCTAAACAATACTGATCAAATAATAAATTGTTCAGAATTCATCAAACCATGAAAATGTTTTTGTACATTCCTTAGAAGATAACTTCCTAACAACATAATGGATATTACATATGAAGACATTTATTCACAATTTCCATCCTAAAAAGGTATTTGGTTTTATGAGACAGGATCTACACTGTAGCCCACGCTGGCATGGAACTCACTCTATATAGCCCAGGTTGGCCTCAAACTCATGGCAATCCTGCCTCAGTTTCCAAGTGCTAGGATTACAGTGAGCTAGCATGACTATTTCCATATTAAAACATTTATATTAATTTAGTAAGCTGTTGTCCCCTAATGTCTCTCGCTGCCCTAGATCCCTCTCCAAAGCCACAAAGGAGATGGCCACTGGTCGTTTACTTTCAGATGTTCCATAGATACTTCACATTCAAGTAATCTAAACTGTTCTGAAACTTTCTGTCCAAATCTGCTTGTCTATGCTCCCCACATCCAACTGAAATTTGAGCACCATCTTTTTCTTTTCTGTTCCTTAAATTCCTCATAATCAGACACTTAAATCCTGTTGATTCTGCCTCCAACTCTGTAAGCATCTGCCCACTTTTTTCTATTCTCATTTCTTATGGATTATCTTAAGCTGAATCAATGAGAGGCTACTGGTAGCATCCCCATTCCCACTTCCTGTAAGTGTATGCTCTCTCTAATTCTGCACAGCGAATTACTTTTTTCAAATTCTTTTGAAAAAATAAAATTATATTCATGTTTCCATTTCAGTCACTCTTTGCCTAGAAACCCCCATTTCCTCATCGGCTTCAAGATGAAACTCATTCTTCAAAATGGCATTCAAAGCCCTTCATGATCCTCAATTTATCTATCTCTTGAACTTTATCTCTCATCATTGTGCTGCACAACACCTTGACCCAAGATACTTTTGCCTCCTGTGAGAACAGATAATACTCAGTGTTCCAGTTAGAAGCAATTAGAATAATGGAAGTGTACATTTTTCTTGTCTCTGGAGTATTTCCTTTGGCTGGAAAGTAATATTTGACCTGTGTTCTCACTTTACCTACTCTGGTCACCTCTGAGATGAGGCATCACTTCCTCTAGGGAGCTTTCCATGTCACATGCAAGGCCAGATAATATTCACTAACAATATCTTAGACATGTTTCCCTGTGGTTCCACTAAATGATCTATATGTTATTCCTGCTTAAATGATCAGATTTTTGAAGCTAGGCACAATGCCCATGGCTGTAATCCTAATAATTGGAAGGTAGAGGCAAAAAAAAAAGAGCCCCCAAAACAAGCAACAACAACAACAACAACAACAACAACAACAAAACCTCTCCAGGAATTTAAGGTCAGATTTAGCTACATGATGAGTTTGAGGTCAGTCAGTCTCATAAAAAACAAATGGGGGGGGCTCAGGTTGATTATCTACAACCTTTTAGTCATTGTAAAATATAAATTTACTTGTAGAAGGTATCTATTAGTAACAGATACACACACATACTTTCTTTTACTGCATTCTTTAAATTAATAAATTAATACTTGAGACAGTCTCACTATGAAGCCTAGGCTAGCTTAGAGCACACTGTACTGCCAAGTTGCCTGAAACTCAAACTCATGATTGTCCTTTCACAGCCTCACACCTGGCTTATTTTCTTTATAATTAGTCTTTTAAATGACTATACATATTTTAGCACTATACTTTTTTATATCTAGAATAACCACAAAATGTGTTACAAAATTTTCTGAGAATGAGGACTATCAAACGGGAGAACCAGTCTAAATTGGGACTATCAAATGAAAGCCTGTTCACCCTAGTCATAATGTAGAGACTGGGCCCTCGTGACTGCAGTGGACTTAAACTCCTCTGTTTCTACGGTTTTCATTTTCCACTTCCTTATAGTTGCTGATCAAACAAAACACTCTAACAAATTTCCTGCATTCAGATTTCCATTTCAAAACCTATTTTTTGAAGTGAAGTTGGAGTTAATTACCAAAAGGTTTTAATATAGATTTAAGCACAAGCACGAAGAGAAGGAAGAGAGATGTAAGATACAAGATAGTGTATAGCCCAGGGTGCAGCTTTCTCAAGGGACAGTCACATTTATGTGACATAACAATAATTACTGATATGATTTTGGTGGCTTTATAAAATTTTTTAAGATTTTTAAATTGAGCTTTTGTACATTTCAGACAACAGTTCTTAATCAAATTTAGTTCCCCTTCCCCATCTACCCCCCCCAACACTGGATCTCATGTATTCTGCCATACATGTTAAGCATTTGTACCCAGATGTCCTTTGGCGCAAATTCATCCATTGGAGTCTAGTCAGGTTCTCTAGAGAAACCTAACCACTCAAAGCTCAGGGACCATTGCAGAAGAGGGGGAGGAAAGACTGTAAGAGCCAGGGCTGATTCATGAACATATGAAAGCAGACTTTCAGGCCAGTGGAAGCTTGTACAAGTGAGCTTGCAGCAAGTGTGGCATCGAGCACAGGACCCATGCCAAGTCAATCAGACAAGGGCTCAGAGAGGAAGGAGGGAAATGGGTGGCGGGATGGCCCTTGTCTAGGAACTATTGGAGACAATTTCTACTGAGTGAGGGAGAGTAGATATTACATCATTTTGGTGGCTTTTGAAGCTATACTATTCCAAGGACTTAAGAAATTATGGAAAAATGCTAATTTTTATCCAAGTAACTTTTCTTTAGTAAATGAAAGCATACAGTGGTTTCTGAGTGTACAGGTTTATAAGCTGATACGATAAAGGCAGGTTAAAAAGGTTAAGGGAATCCTTACTATAAGTAGGTCACAAAGTCAGGACATGTTTTTAGACTGGCTTTTTTTTTTTTTTTTGAGGTACAACTTGCTATGGTAGCCAAGACTGGTCTCGAAATCATGGCAATCCTCTTGCTTAAAGCATTTATTAAAACAAGTGGCTTAAAACATAATTATAAACATGTTTCATAACCTTGTTTATAGGGTTCTCTTGATTCTCAGCAAGCAAACAAAGTATTAATCTCAGGAACCCAATCTAAGACACCACTTTGTCAGGCTTCTAGGGACTCAGAGTTAGAAAGTTAACTAGAAACTAGAATCTCATGCAAAAGTGAAAAGGGCTTTATTTACTCTTGACTCACAAAATCTTGTAAGAAACATATGAAAAGTGTTTACAACTACTTATCTGTAC